AACTCATACACCTATTCCCTTTTTAAGTAAATTTATTTGTTTTGTTTTAATTTGTATTTAAATATTTATTTATACATATGTATGTTCGTTCGTCTGTTTATTTGTTTGCATACATGTCATTTTTGAAGTATTATCTGTCATATTCAACTGACACTTTGAGAAATATGGAAATTAAATGTGGTGGTAAAATATTAATAAATACACATATCTTTTTACTACTATTTAGTATTTTTAACAACTTGTTTTTTTCCTTTTATTAATGAATGTCTATTTGGTTAATGTGAGAATAATTATAACTGCAGGGTTTTTATTTTTTCATATTAAAAATAGAGCAGGGCAGTCATTTTTGAAACCACAAACTATTATTTATATGTGCGGATATTTAAAGTGAGACATTTTAAGAAGTTTCGTTAGTTTATATTTTTTATATGGAAATGGTATGAGTAATTATTTGTCATTCAGTAGGTAAAGTTCAACAGCTAGTATTTTTCTTCTTTTAGCGTATAAGTTTGTTTCTTAAAGGAAATACTAAGTTCCTTTAAGATTTTCTTCATACCAGTCAAGAAACTTGATCTATTAAATTTCGATTGACGATTAACTACAACATATAGGAATTAATTATAGTCTAATATCATATGAATATGAACTTTGAACCTCGATAAAATCTAAACTGAAACGAATTTAGAAATTTTAAAGAATTTTAAATTTTGTATTTATGTAAAGAATGTAATAAAGTCAGAAACTGGAAACGAAACTGGTCCGATTTATTTAAAGCGATCCAATTACAAACTTACTTAATAAAATGTATTACGAATTAGCCTAAAATGTAGAGAATCTTTGTATCTAGAGGATTTAACTACGCTAAATCCGAAACATACTGTCGCATCAGTTTCAGTCCTCTCTACAATAAAGGATAAAGCTCTATTGTATATTCTTTCTTCTTCAAGATATCTTAAGCAAAATCTTGGAGCAACCATAAATTGACAAAAACTATACAAAATAATATTTTTTCAAAGTTTAATAAGAAAATTAAATATTCCTACTTAAATAAGGTTTGATTGTTGGGTAATTTATTTAGTTAATATAAATAATAAATAATTGTGCTGCATACTTTAGGGCAGTAGAAATTAATTGGAAATATTTATTACAGTAGTTTTCCGATTTAACGAACATTCGTTTCTACGAACATCGCATTTAGCGAACTATCAATATTTTTACATTGAGTACCTTACATAACGAACAAAAAATATTTTTTGTACTCAGTTTAACGAACAAATATAAATAAAATAATTTAAATTAGAGTTAAATTAACAAAAATAACTAAGAATCATGTCAGAAAAGCTTCGACGTTATTAGGAGGGGTATTTATTTTAGTAAAATGAAGAATCTAGATAATCTGAGATTTTTTTATTAAAGATTTATACAAAAATATGAGATAATCAAATCTACAATCCTTAATGTCCCAAAAACTAATGTTGATCGAATTAGAAAATCGGAACAAAAAATGTTTAGAGAGGCCAAAGTATACTTTTCTAGAAGCTCGTGATCAACCCGAATTTGGCCTTAGAATTTGAAATCATAGAAATTGGTGTTCAAAATAAAGACTTTGCCAATCGTATACCTTAACATTTTGCTTTTATTTTTCGCCAAACTAACAAGTCCCCACTGTGACCATAATTTTTGTCCAATAAAAATCAATTCTAAGAAATTGTAAGAAACGATATGTTATAGAATAAACAATATAAATAGTTTTTCTTTTGGAAAAAGGATATTTACAGGAATAGCTGTGAAATAAAGGAAAAAATATTTTAAAAAACTTTATGTTCAGATATCTCAAAGAATGAAAACAATGAAACTGTGAAACAATGAAACGCTTTAATAGCTTTACATTAATTTATTTCCTAAGGAATTCTGAGGCCAGCTTCAGATTCATCGCAATTTCAGCCATTGGGTTTAAACTTCTTTAAGAATTATGTCGTCCGAGTGCTTTTCCAGAACGTAGATTAGTTATACGAAATAAACTGAGTTTTTTCAAATTTCTTTATTGTTTTTACATTGTGATATAAATTGCTAGTTTTTCATAAAATTCTTATAAAATATTGTATAAAGAAATTATATTTCCTGGAACATATTTTTATAAATTAGATTTTATGTAATTTTAATTATTTATGTACCCAAAAGACACTTTCGAGTTAGTACTGCATATAACGAACTTTTCGATTTAACGAAAAGGCCTGACAACATATAGGTTCGCTAAATCGAAAAACTACTGTAATATTTTATATCAAAATAAGTTTTAAAGAACTAACTCTAATGTGCGACTTTTTTTTTATAAAAATGTTTAAAAACTTATTTACGATTTAAGACTTACGTGTAAATTAAATTTCTAAAAAAAAAACCGAAAGCTTATTTTGCAAAAAATTTCAATTTAAAAATCTTAAAATTTTATTTAAAATTTTTTTTTTTTCGTAAAAAAACCACGTTTAACAATTATATTTAGAAACTGCATTTAATAAAATTTTACCTTTAAATAACACATTCATCTTAATCACACTTTACTATCCTTCTCGCCAATAATACTACATTTTCTAATGTAATCTCTCGTTCCACATAATAATACAAATCAGCCTCATATCCATTTTGTCTTAAATAACTCAAACGTGCATAGTCCAAAATACGTTTACACATAAAACCTATAGTTTCACGTTCAGCCAATGATAAACGTTGATTTGCATTGATTTCTGCCACCTCCTGTGCTGTAAGTTGCTGTTCCTCTAAGGCCTTGCGTCTTTCTCTGCTCATGCCGGTGCCACAAATGGCCCAACTTACCATTTTTGTAATAATAACAAATTCTCGCTGAGAAATTTCATGTTCTTTGAGAAATTCTTTACCCACAAACGAACGCCAATCGCAGCGATGATGACAGCACAAGGCGATCATTATAAAGTCGGTAAACTTTTCTTGGGCCTGAGATATGCAACGTAAAGTTAAATCTGTGGCGCCACCACATAAATGTTTGGAGACAGCCACACAATGTTGGGAGTTCTTCAAATTTGATAATTTGTCTACACAAAAATCAGCTATATCTGCTCTTATACGCTGCACCAAAGAACGGTCTTCTATTTTATTGTCCTTCTTATGGCGTAAGGACATGCGATCCACTAAAACCACTTCAGAGTTTTCTTTCTTCTCCAATAACTTAGCCAAATAAAAAGCCAGTTGACCTTTACCGGCTCCAAACTCTACAAAACTAGTGGAATTTTCTATTTGCTGCTCCTTTTCCAAAATACCCAATAAAGCGGCCGCTTGTACTAAATGTTTACGTGATTCCTTGCCATACTCTTCCTTGGACAATTCTTCATCCATGCACTTGTGATGACATTCTAATTTTTGTATTTTATTGTCAACAAATTTCTCATACAATTTCTTAACTTTATCAATAATTCGATAAAATTCTTCATCTTCCAAATCGTTTAGTTTAATATTTTTCAAATCATCTTGCATGGGCTCCTCATTGTCACTTCCAGCATTAACATTCTTTTGTATATACTCCGGCTGGTCATCTGTGGGGCGGGCATTACAAATTTTCAAATGTTTTCTTAAATTCTTTTTATAAACCGTATGTTTGCCATCCAAGGGACAGGGAATTCGCTCGCTATCTAGCGCAGTATCATTGGAATCATTTTTTACCGCTGGCTCATGTTCACCACAATACTCTTTACCCTTGGCCACAGTCATTTTACAATAGCGTTTCTTGCGCTTGACAAAATGGGCACATGTTTTGATTGCCGGGCATTCTGTGGAATCTTTTGGCTCATCTGTTGTTGTCATTTCCGTTGTCATTTTAGATTTTTTCGCTGGTTGTTCTTCGTCAGACATTTGTGGAGTTTAACTTAAATTTATTATTGCACTAATATAAATTACTTATTTTAAACAATTGTGGGAAAAAATTAAATTAGAATCGGCAACAACACCAAAACAAAACAAATGTGACGTGAAAAAAATGAGAAGACAGGGTTGTTATACTAACAGCTGTTTATTGTGATGTTGCCAATTTAGGGGTTTTTTTTGCGATTTTTATTGAAAGGTCGGAACTTTTTGATAATATTCGTCCTATTGGCAACTTTTTATACCCTACACCAATATAGTGTGCTTTGATGTTTGTAACACCCAAAAATATTGGACCTATACCCACTTTAAAGTATATCAAACTGCTCAGAATCACTTTCACTAAGTCGATTAAGCTATATTACCGTCCATCTGTCTGTCTGCTTACGTCTCTATGTAAACCTCGTGCGCACTTTACAGGTCGCAATCTTCAAGCCTATTAAAAATGTTTGAATTCGGTCTATTATTTCGAGTAGTCCTCGTACAACCAACAAAAATATCGTCATATCTGGCATACCCACTAGTGTAGGGTATAATTTGGTTGGCCATGTCCGACAGTACATTCTTACATGTTCGTATTATTTCAATACACATTGAAATATTGATCGTAGAGTTTAAATTAATTTTTTAATATCGACGTTTCTACATTATCCGACTTTCAACTTTTTCCTGATTAATCGACTTTTATAATTTTTTTCGACAATTTTTCGATTTTTTTCTTACAGGGTGGTCTGTTGACATTTCGATTTTGTTAAGACATAGTACTCGACTTCGACTTTTTTGTATAAAGGGTTCCATAGCCGATTTATAGACTTCTACCATCCATTCTGTCTGTTGAAAACACAATATACTCATAAGGGGAGGAAATGTTATTGAAATTCAACAAATATAAGTTAATAGCAAGTAAAATCTCTCGATGAACAACTTACTTGTTAATTTCCGAAAAAATTCACAAATTACGATTTTGGTTCAGTTGGTAAATTTTAAAGTTTGTATTTGTAAAAATGTTCGCATTTCATTTTATTGTTTTCATGCTTTAAAAAGATCTTAAAAACAATTTTTATTGTGTATTTCAAAATGTGGTTTTTCGCCATCAATCTGGCAACCATACGCCAGCAAAAATAATGAAAACAATGACAAATGTCATAGCGGCGAATAGACGTGCAAAAGAAAAAATAGCAAAAACTACAAACATATACGAGAAAAGTACAAGTTTTTTAAACGTTTACAATTAAAATTCAATAAAAACTCTTCATATTTTTATAAAAATTAAATAAAAACCAATTGTTTATAATAAAACCTCAAAATGTAAGTAAATTATGCGAAAATACCCAATTTAATAACAATTTCTTTTAAAAAGTTGCAAAAACTAACCTCAATTTTTGTTTTCGCGCAAACATTTGTATTGTTTGTTGTGTTTTGTGTAGGGCTCTTGTCAAACCCAAATCTGAGTTGACTCCCGAAGAATTGGCACGCCAAGAAGAAGAGGAATTCAATACTGGTCCCCTATCAGTGCTCACACAATCTGTGAAAAACAATACACAGGTTTTAATCAATTGCCGCAACAATAAAAAACTATTGGGCAGAGTAAAGGCCTTCGATCGTCACTGTAATATGGTATTGGAGAATGTTAAAGAAATGTGGACGGAAATACCACGTACAGGAAAGGGCAAAAAGAAGGTAAAACCAGTTAACAAAGATCGTTTCATATCAAAAATGTTCTTACGAGGCGACTCGGTTATATTGGTTTTAAGAAATCCTTTGGCCACAGCAGCTGGAAAGTAAAGGGGTGGTTAAAAAAGCCAACAGTTTTTATATTTAAGTAAATGAATTTGAGAGAAAAACTGAAATTTTTTTATTTTAGTTTTATTTTACTTTGCGTAAAAAAATATGAATAAATTTTTATTAAAAAAAAGTTGATAACATTTTAATTATCCTCAGATAACTGGGCATGTAAGATGGGTACATAATCATCATATTGAGCCTGATAGAAATTACCAGCCACAGGAGCACCCAAATTATATTTTTCAGCAAATTTAGCTGCCTTAAAATTGGGTCTATTACGACGCGAATTGTTGGCAACATGCGGTTCATCAATGTCGATCTTTCCTGGTTGTTTGTATAAAAGGAAGATGTAACGATGTAGACCGGTGCCTTTCGGTGGTCCTGAACCCACATAAGCAGCCACCACTTCACCTTGATCAATTTTATTTCCGGGTATATTGGCCACCAACCAATGACGAAATTCTCTAACCTTAGGATTAGCACGACTAGGTGCATCAGGATCGGTCATTATTAGGGTATAATAATCCGCACATTTTGCCTCCCACTCAACTTTGGGTTGTTGCTTAACTTGTGTTGGTGTCAATTCGTTGCCTTTATTAACCTCCAAGCCACCGTCATATGAAACCTGTTAATTTTAATGTTGAATTAAAAAAAATAACAATACAGAGATAATTTAATAATTTTACATTAAGTAATTACACTGTGTGACAACAAAAAATTACTCAAAATGTTCCAAATATCGTGTTTTGAACTACTCTACTAGACCTACAAAACTGAACTAGGTTACATATTTACTTTTTGCAATTTTGTCACACTGTGTTATTGAAATATTCTCATTAACAATTGATAGAAATAAAATTGCATGATTCCGTTTTAGAAATAGAAATGTATTGTTGGAAAAGAAATTAGGCCCTTTGAAAAAGTGTTAATTTTAGTTCGTTATAAAAAAAATAAGTGTAATTTATCAAATTAGTTGTTTTTTAAATTGCTAAGTTTAAATTTAATACTTGATTGATGAAAGGAGAAAAAATAAAATGTATTAGTTTTCCATAAAAATTATTATAACCCATGCAAGGACGATGGGAAGTGTATTATGGGTTTGTGCTGATGTTTGTGACAGCCAAAAGTAAAATAATGAAAATAATAATACATGCACCTTAAAGCATTTGAATCATTATCTTAGTTGATTTAATTATGTCCATACGATCACGTAAACCTTGTAGTTGAAGTTTTAAACTAAGAAATCCTGAAAAATATAAAGGAATCCAAGCCAACAGTTTTACATTGACTTAAAAGTAAAGGGATTTGCAAAAAAAAAACTAAATGTTTTTGTTTATTTTGCTTTCCTTAAAAATATGAATGAATTTTTATTTAAAAAATTCGTTTAAATACATTTTAATTATCCTCAGAAAAACCTAACTGGGCAAGTATGATGGGTACATAATCATCATATTGAGCCTGATAGAAATTACCAGCCACAGGAGCACCCAAATTATATTTTTCGGCAAATTTAGCTGCCTTAAAATTGGCTCTATTTTCACCTGAATTATTGGCAACATGTGGTTCATCAATGTCTATTTTTCCGGGTTGTTTATATAAAAGGAAGATATAGCGATGAAGACCAGTACCTTTGGGTGGTCCTGAACCCACATAAGCAGCCACCACTTCACCTTGATCAATTTTATTTCCGGGTATATTGGCGACCAACCAATGACGAAATTCTCTTACTTTAGGATCAGCACGACTAGGTGCATCAGGATCGGTCATTATTAGGGTATAATAATCTGTACATTTTGCCTGCCACTCAACTCTGGGTTGTAGCTTAACTTGTGTTGGTGTCAATTCATTGCCTTTATTAACCTCCAAGCCACCGTCATATGAAACCTGTTAATTTTAATGTTGAATTTAATGCACAAAAAACTTAATAATTTTAAATTAAGTAATTATTGTGCAATTGTCATTAACAATAGATAGAAATAAAATTGCATGATGTCAGTATGTTAAAAACTAAATGAATGCATTGTTGATGAAGAAATTAAGTCGCTTGAAAAGGTGTTAATTTTGTTTTGCTATAAAAAATTAAGTGTAATTTATCAAATTAGTTGCTTTACAAATTGCTAAATTTACATTAAGTACCTGTTTCATGAAAGGAAACAAACAAAATTATAAATATAATTTAAATTGGGTTTTCATATAAATTACACAGGCCAACGAAATGAAGGTTTGTGAAAACTTTTGAAACCAATTGGACTATAATGTATTTTTAGCTGATAATCTGACATGTATCTGCTTTTTCCTATCACCCACTTCTTTTTTGCAAAATAGCATCGACTATTTTGTTCATATGCATATTACGGACATTTTATATAATTATAAAAATATATTTAAGGCTTAATTTCAATTTGTTCGATGTCATCATAAATACGGGTCTTCATTATATAGTTTTCCTAAGTTTCATTTATATCGGTTGAAAACAAAATAATATTTCATTATGGTTTCAAGAGAATTTCCCCATAATTGCATAGCTTGGGTTGGACCTTCACAGTTTATGGGTTAACATTATTCGATTTTTACTAAAACTTCAGATGTATTGTTTTCTCCGAAATCCACAAAATTCAGAGCGCATATACCGCCAATATGTGAGAGATTTCGACCTAAAATGCATCTTCCGCAAAACACTAGTGTAAGGTATTTTTCACTCGTTTATAACTGGCTCTACTTTCTTACTTCTTTCGTATAACACTTCATACAAAATGTGCCACTTTTAATTTTATAACAACAACTAACCTTCAAAAATTCCTTGGGTGCCTCCTGCAATACATCGGGTATTATTTCATTGTCCTTAAATACTTGTTCCACTTCACTGTCAGCAGCTGCATTTTGGGCCAACTGGAAATAGGCCCAAAAACAGATAAATACAACAACCAACTGTTTAGCCATCTGGTTTGTTAATAATATGAACAATTTTCTTTTGTTATTTCAACTTATTTCGTTCAACAACAAACAGCGAAGTTTCAAAAGTAAATAAATCAATACTTAAATTAAAACCAGTTTTTATATAAAATTTATAGAAGAGAATTGGTTTTTAAGAGAATTTTAATTTGTTTAACACATTGAGAAAGATCTATATTTTTTGCTTACTAATATCAAGTTGTTATTAACCCTTTTCAGTCAGTTATGGTAATGTTTTTGATTTTAAATATTTTATTGAAATTAAAGCTTTAAGCTTAAGTTCGCAATGATAGATTATTGTATATCTTTTTCATTTTATCAACAATATCATTGTAAAATGTACAAATTGAGCAGATTTTTTTGTTTTTTATTTATTAATACATATATCGATTAAGAATATTCCGTACGGTATTACAAGTAGAGCTAGGTAAAATGCCAATTCCGCAATATTTTAAGTTACATATTAAGCTATAGGTATAAGACAGCATTAAAACATCTCATCTTCATCATATACATAGGTATAAAATTCAGCAATATTATTTAACTAAATTAACAGTTACTCTTTTAAATCTCCACCAACATATTAAACAAATAATATTGATCGAGATGCTGATCATCAAAATCATCCGGCCTCCCATTTTCTTAAAACAATTTTTTTAAATTTTATTAAAAAACCTCATCAATTGCTGCCCTAACAATATTTTTGGGAAACTACTTTGTCATTCTGTTATATTTAGAGAATACTATATTTGCAAAAGGAAAAATCTAATTCGGAACATTGTTTTCCAAAATATTGATTCAAATATGGCGATATCCTACGTGAGAAAAAACAGAAGTGTTTTTAAAGTACATGTAAATATTTACGAAAATCTGCGAATTCTGTAGGTGTATCTTTTTTTTTTAATTTCTTACACTATGGGACATATTTTCCATTCGAAATCCATAATTTTTAAGTAAAAAATATATATAATTTCAAAATGAACATTTTTCAATATCGTACGTGACACATCGAATGCGACAGATTTTTCTCCTGAATTTTCTTAGGTTATAAAATATATACTATGTATTTTGGAAATATGTATGTATATTAGGGTGGACCCGTTTGTATGGAGGAAAAATAAGGTGTCGATGTTCCCGACTAAAATCAAAATTTAATTGATTATAAGATAGCGTTTCTCAAAATTTTTGTCCTGGGGTCAATATTTGGCAAGCTGGATCTATGGATAAAAAGGTCCTTTTTTGAGGTTTTTTGTGATTTTTTTCATATTTCTTCCAAAGGAAAGATATAAAATTTTAGTATCATAAGAAAGGTTCATGAGAGACGCTTTCAATGGGATATCAGAAAAATTTGTGTAACAGTAAAAGTAATCGAAATTTTCTAAGTTTTCGTAAAATTTTCAGATTTTTTACATTTTTACATAGATAAATTTAATAAAATTCGTTGAAATTAATTCACAATAATCCTCAATAAAGTCTACAGAAACGGGTTTTTCCATTTTTCAAAATTCAGTCTAGATCAAATTTTATTTAAATTTATCGAAGCCTATGTACGCTACCAAACCATTGCGGAATAATGTAAACAATAACATAGAAACCGTTATTTACAAAGCAAGCATAACAATTAAGTGATGAAAAACGGAAGTGTTTTAAAGTACATGTACATAAATATTTACGAAAATCTGCGAATTCTGTATTTGTAGCTTTTTTGTTTTAATTTCTTACATTATGGGACATATCTTTCATTCGTAATCCACAATTTTTAATTAAAAAAAAAATTAATATAATTTTATAATGAACATTTTTTGAATATCGTACGTGACACATCGTATGTGACAGATTTTTCTCCTGAATTTTTTTAGGTTATAACATATATACTTTAATGGCTTTAATGATTTAATTAAGAAACTTTATTGCTTAAGCTATAAAATTCTTTATTCATAGTTTGGTCAATAATTAATCTAAGCCCATAAGTCTATAATTGATCTAAGGTGACTGGTTGTTTGGGGCTAGGTTAAATAATGTACCAATAATGTTCATGATTCAATAGAAGATCATGTACCAAAATTAATTATAATATCATTAAAATTGGGATATCATCGCTCTAAAGATTGACTTATGAAAATATTACTTTTTTCATAATGTATAAAATTAATGATGTATGTATTTTTTGAGCTTACAAGTTCAAATTTGTACAACATTTACAAAAGTTAGCAAAAATTAAAAATGTTACCCAATAAGAATGAATTACCAATTGTTTTTAACTCTAGCCAAGCCACACACCAGAAATTGTGTTGCCAACTCCGAAACATACAAAAAAAAAAAAATAAAATTATACAGTAAACGTTAGTATAGTTTTACGCGGAGTTTATGCGAAATGCATATAAAACTTAAATAAAAACAATTCCATTAAAATTTGTAAGTTATTATTCGAATTAAAGTTAAAGTGAATTTTAAATAAATATAGGGGAATAAAATTTAAGTTTGAGAACCGAAAGTAATCAAAAATATTTTGATTTTTTAATTAAAAAAAAACGTCTTTTTCAATTTTTTCAGAAAGTTACCGAAAAAATTTAAACATATTTGCTAGTTTTTATAGCATTACCCTAGTAAGTTTCTCTTGTAATTCCCCTTTTAAGCGGGATACTACCCTTTACCACAGTTATTATTGTCATTGGATTTTCAAACATTTTGTATAAAATTGTTTTTGGAAAATTTTTTTAAACGGACGATATTTTGGACGTATTTATGTAATACTAGAATACCCTGGGTGCTTCGCTACCCTAACTTAAATTAAATACATTCAAAATTTTGTTTACTTTTATAGAAAATTAAAATTGATTAAACATTTTTTTAATGTTTCAGTTTTATACGTTCAATATCACGTGATTAAATTCGCATTCATTAAGAAGGTTGTATTTTTAGTTTCATTCATTTAGCTTCCACATTATAGAAAATTTTGAAAGTAATGTTTGAAAAAAAGTACCATAAAATACCTCTAATAGATCATCATTTAATAAAAAATTTTTTGTTTCTGTGTTCAATATTATATACAATTCAAAAAATATAATTTTAATGAATGAAAAAGTACCAAATGTCCCTTTCAGTAGATTCATTTTAAATTTTATTTTCAATATATAAGTTCAATATCGTAAAAATTTCAAAAGGTACCATCGGAAAAACGAAAAAGTACAAAAATCTCTCTCAATAAATTCTCATTTAATAAGGACCGTGTGTTCCGGTTAACCATTATAAAGAATCTAAAAGGTACCATTTGAAGAATAGAAAAGTACCAAATAGTTCCCACTTACAGAATATTATTCAGTCAAGACCATGTATGTTAAAATTAATGTTTCTAGGTTGAATATTTTAGAAAATTAAAAAAGTACAATTTATGAGATAAAAAGTACTAAAAAGTTGTCTCTTAAAGAATCTTATGCAATGAGGACCGTGTAGTTTAATAATCATGTGATTTGAGTTCATATTAAAGAACATACAAAGAGTATCATTTGAAGGAAGAAAAAGTACCAAAGTGGAATAAATTTTACCTAAGTGGAAAGTACTAATAAAAAGATTACAATGTTTCCCTTTTTCGCTTAGAAAATATACTTTTTCGAGAATTAAGTTTACAAAATGTTCCGTATTTAAATCTATATATCACAGATAAAACTCAAACGATTCAAATCTGCATTCATTTGTTCCAGAAAAATAGTGCTTTCAAAAAGTACCAAACAATTTATTCGAATTTGGTCCTATATAGGCCTTAGTACTCGAATTCCAAAATAATTTGAATAAAATTAAATTTCCCGTTTTTTCACTTTTTGGTACTTTTTTCCCCAGTGAAACAGCAAAAATTTTATTACAATAAATATTACAGAGTTAGTCCGTAATTTAATAGGAATAATTCAATAAACCGAAAAAGTTTTCTTAATGTTTTAAAAAAAAGTACCATAAATACAGTTTTCTCCCTTTTACACCCAAAAAGGACTGAATTTTAAAAAAGTACGAAACAGGTGTCTCATAACTTTGGGAGATGTATCTAAAATATTTATAAAAATTTCATTATGTTAATTATTTCAAAAGTTATAATGGACCAAAAAAGGTACCAAAATCACCTTTGTTACACATTTTTACCCCTTATAAGTACGAATTTCAAAAAAGTACCAGACACCCATCTGCTCATTTTAAGAGTAGATAAAGGTGTATTTAAAATTTTTCTTGTATCACTAATATTGTGTAAGATAATTAAGAAAACCTGTTTTACCCGTTTTTTCCCCTTTCTACCCGTACAAATGTACAAATTTCCAAAAATCCCTCCTTAGTGGATCTACATAACCGTAAGCACATCTACTGTCAAAATTTCATGATTCTAGGTTCAGCCGTTCGGGCTCTGCGATGATGAATCAGTCAGTCAGTAACGCTACTCTTTTATATTTATATAGATGAACTAAAAAAGGTAATTGACTGACCTTTTAATTCTGGAAATATTACAAATTTGTTATCGGTCCTATTATTCTCCTAAAAATTACATTTGATTAATTTAATTTTTGGTATAGTTGTGTTTATTGGGTAATTTTCTACAAATTAATTTTCAAATTTAAATTTTTACAACGATTAAAAATTTCATACAGACTTTTAAATATCTATAGCAATAACGCAATTCTTTAAATTATATCTTACAAATATCATAATGAGTGATGATGCTAAAGATATAAGCAATATTTTTAAAACCCATCAAATAATCCCCGATGTTATAGCAATACCACCAACAGAACTTTTAAAGGTAACTAATAATGGCGAATAACACAAGAAAAGTTCTATTTAAAAATGTCCATTTACTTTAAGGTAACTTATCCAAACGGTGTTATTGTCGATAAAGGCAATAAACTAACACCCACCCAAGTTAAAGAAACGCCCACTGTAGAATGGACCCACGAAAGTAATCAGTTTTATACACTAACATTTACTGATCCTGATGCGCCTAGTCGCAAAAATCCACAATTTCGTGAATATCAACATTGGATTGTTGTCAATATACCGGGTAATGATCTTAATAAAGGTGAAATTTTAACGGCATATGTTGGATCTGGACCTCCTCAAGGTACGGGTTTACATCGTTATGTATTTTTACTTTTTAAACAAACGGGAAAAATACAATTTAAAGAAAATCATATACCCAAGAATAGTGGTATAAATCGTGGAAAATTTTGTGTAATGAAATTTGCAAAAAAATATAAATTGGGTGAGCCGTTGGCAGGAAATTTCTATCAGGCTGAGTGGGATGATTATGTGCCAACAGTGCATCGTCAGTTGTCGGGAAAAAAGGGTTGAAGATATACATATGTATGTACCAAAATTTTTACATCGGAATTTGTTACCATCGGAACAGTTTGTGTAGAAGAGTTCTTGAGTCGGTGCTAGTTCTATGGAACTGTTTGGAACCAGTTCTTTCATCAAAAAATTCATTTTGAAAAAAATAGGGTAAAACAAGTTATAGTGCTATATTCGGCTGTGCCGAATCTTAAATACCCTCCACCAGCAAGCTATTTTTAATTAAACCCCATTTAACTATCTAATTTTTAGATAACTTGGCAAAATTGTTCTTTCCGTATTGATATGCATATGTCAATCTAATTTTAATTAAGTCCAGAAAAATTTATATTAATAGACCAGTTCGAAAACATTTTAATATATTGATTTATCTATACATAGAACATATTCATGTCGAATTTTATCCGGATATAATCATTTAATAACGAATTAAGTAGCATTAAGTGATTTTCAGAAGTAAACCTTATATGATAGCTAAGACAACTTATGGACCGATCCGGAAAAAAATTCCATAGAATGATTTGTATGCTCACAAAACATATTCAATTCGTACTTTATTATTCAAAGAAATATATGCGTTTAAGTGATTTTCGTAAGTGGACCTTATATGGGAGCCTATCCGGAAAAAATTCGTAGAGTGATTCATATAAAGACAAAACATATTTGTGCATTTAAGTGATTTTCGGAAATAAGCCTTATATGGGAACTATGACCAATAATTTACCGATCGGGGAAAAAAGTGGTAGATTGATTTATATGTACACAAAACATATTCAAGTTGAATTTTATCCTTATAGCTTTAGAATTTTATGAAATATATGCGTTTAAGTGATTTTCGGAAATGGACCTTATATGGGAGCTATGACCCATTATGGGTCTATCCGGAAAAAATTTCGTAGAGTGACAAAACATAATTGTGTAGAATTTTGCCTTTAAGTGATTTTCGGAAGTAGGTCTTATATGGGAGCTATAACCAATAATTGACCGATCCGTAAAAAATTTGATAGAATGATTTGTATGTATATAAAACATATTTGTGTTGAATTTTATCCCTACAGCTTTTGAATTCAATGAAATATATGCGTTTAAGTGATTTTCGGAAGTGGATCTTAATGGGATCTATGACCAATTATGGGCGTATCCGGAAAAAAATTTCATAGAGTGATTAATATTTAGACAAACCTTATTTGTGTCGAATTTTATCAAGATAACTTTATTTGACAATGATATATGTATGTGCTTTTAAAAAATCGGTAAAAAATTTTGTAGAATGATTTGTATGTACACAAAACATATTTAACTCGAATTTTATCACAATAGCTTTATTTATCAATGAAATATGTGCGTTTAGGCGATTTTCCGAAGTGGACCTTATATGGGAGCTATGACCAATTGTGGACCGACTGAGATCTACGTTGATATTATGATTTCTTTTCATATTATATTTGCATGTACACAATTTTGTGTTGATACCGATATATTTGAGGGAGTTATTAACGATAAACTAATATCCGGGAATATATACCTTTGTATGGGGGCTATGGGAAATATTGAATCGATTGTAAAGATTTTGAACATAATTAATCACTGCTTTAAAAAAATAATGTGTGACAAAATTCATCGAAATATCTTTGGCAGTTTCTGAGAAAACTTATTAAGAATTAGGAAAAAAACAAAATTTTTTTCAAGGTAGTCTGAAATTTTTACTCAGAACTTTTTACGTTGTGAACCGATTTTGCTGATTTTCAATACCAAACTGCTTAGGATAATAGTAAATATTTTGGGTGAATTTTGTTGATTTCCTTTGCTTAGCTTTAACGTGAGCGTGTTTTAGGCAGACGGACAGAAATGAATATTTCTTGTTGTTCCACATGGAACAAACTTATATATACCCTCTATCACCACTGATGTGTTAGAAATATACTTTATAAACAAAACACTTTTCATATTCAACATATATATTTTAGTTAACTTTGAAATAATTTTTATATTGTTTTCTGGGAACTTCAAAAATTTTCTTCACACAACTTTTAGAACTTGTTCAATATAGTTTATTGTTAAATAAAATATTATTATTTTATATAAAAAGAAAATCTGTCTTAAATTTATTAAGAGGATTTCCATCAGGTTATGGGCCCAGACAGAACGTTTGGGAAAAACTACTATTGAAATATTATAATAAAACAAAATTTTGTGCAAGAATCTCAAGATGGCATCGTCGTCTCTGTATCAGATAGAAAAGCTCGACGAGAAGAATTATGAGGCGTGGAAAATTCACATGAGAAGTATCCTGATTCATGCTGGAACATGGAAATATGTAAATGGTGATGAACAAATTGATACAAAATGGGGTCCAGATAAAATACTGGAATGGGGAACCAATGATGAAAAGGCATTGGCAACCATCATGTTAAGTGTGAAGTCTTCGCAACTTAATTATATTAAAAATATAACAAAATCTAAAGATGCTTGGGATAAACTTAAAGAAGTTTATGAACCTAGTGGCCCAATGCAGAAAGTTTCCTTATACAAAAAGCTGCTAAATGTAAACATGAAGGACAGTAAAGATATGGCCGAATACTTAAATAATTTTTGCGATATTACGGAAAAATTAGCTGATGTTGGAATCCGTATACAAGATGAATTACTTGTCATCATTCTACTATCAAGTCTACCCAAAGAATACGAAAATTTTGTTGTAGCAATGGAAACGAGAGATTCTCTACCAGCATTAGGCACACTAAAACTCAAACTATTGGAAGAACATGAACGCCGAAATCAACAAAATGGTCAATCAACAGTACAGCAAGCTTTCAGTGCAACTAAAAGCGAAGGTGGAAACAAGAATTGGAAAAACAAAGAAGCTGCAAAGGTAACAAAAGGAAATTGTTTTATATGTGGTAAAAAGGGTCACTACGCAAACAAATGTAAAACAAAACGTGATCAACAAAAGTCTTACAGCCTTATTGCAATGGCGAAATCTGAACAAGTAAGTAGTCCAAAGTCCTGGTACATTGATAGTGGAGCTACAAGTCACATGTGTGCAAATCGAAACTTATTTACAAAATTAGATGAATGTAATGACAACATTATGTTAGCAAATAATAAATCAGTTGTTGCCAAAGGAATTGGAACTGTCAATATTTTTGTTAATAATAGTATAATTGAACTAAAAGATGTTTTGTATTCTCCAGATTTGAATGGTAATTTTTTATCTGTCAGCAAAGTGGTTAAGTATGGTGGTAAAATCAAGTTTAATCAACATGGTGCAGTTTTTACTGATGAAAACAATGATTATATTTTGAAAGCCAGAATAGAAGACAACCTATTTGTATTTAATGTTGAAAAACCTGAGGAGAAAGCATGTGCATTAAATTCAAGCAATGAAGTTTGGCATCGAAGGTATGGACATCTTAACTATCAAAGTCTCTATGATTTATCCAAGAAAAATATGATAAATGGTATGGATATAAATAAAGAATCGGGTGAACCATGTAAAACCTGTATGGTAAGCAAAATTCATGCAGCTAAATTTCCAAAACACTCGGAGAGTAAATCTGGTGAGTTATTAGAGTTGATACACTCGGACGTTTGTGGTCCTATGAATATAGATTCAATTGGGGGATCAAAATATTTCCTGACATTCATAGATGACAAATCCAGGAAAATTTTTGTATATTTTCTCAAATACAAAAGCGAAGTTTTTGAAAAATTTAAATTATTTAAAGAAATGGCAGAGCGACAAACTAATCGTAAAATAAAATTCCTCCGCAGTGACAATGGTGGAGAATACCTTAGCAAAGAATTTAGCCAGTATTTAGAACAATGTGGAATACAACGACAGCTCACTGTACCCTATACGCCGCAGCAAAATGGTGTGGCTGAAAGAGCTAATCGAACTATAGTAGAAATGGCTCGATGTATGTTAGTTGAGTCGGGACTTAGTCAAAATCTTTGGGCTGAAGCAGTAGCAACAGCAGTATATTTACGTAACAGATCTCCCTCAAAAAGTCTAAATGACAAAACTCCATATGAAATTTGGAGCGGTCGTAAACCAAACGTCAAACATTTAAAAGTTTTTGGTTCTAATGTGGTTGTTTTAAATAAAAAGAAGGGTAAATTTGATCCCAAAGGTTCACATATGGTGATGGTTGGATATTCTCGTGTATCTAAAGCATACCGATTATATGATATGGAAAATCGTGAAGTTATTGAACGTCGCAACATTTTGTTTGATGAGCAAAATCTATCTGGTGAAATAATCAATAACAACAATGAAAGTTTTATGAATTTTGAAGAAATTTTAAATAGTAAAAATAATGATACTAATAAAGAAGTGCGACAAACGAATAATGAAGAAATGCAACAAACGCAGAATATAGAAGAGCCAGAAATTAATGTCAGTTCTGATGAAGAAGACTTGTTATATTTTGAAGCGGAAAATAGCGACAGTTCTTCTATTGAAGAAGTTATAACAACAAACGATTCACTTAAACGTGGCCCTGGTAGACCAAAAATTTCTCGAAATGGTAAACCAGGAAGGCCAAGGAAGATTCCTCAAGTACTGAATAATGTGGTGGAGGATGTAGTTCCAAGTACATACCAAGATGCATTATCCAGTCCAAATAATAAAAAATGGATAGAAGCTATGGAAAAGGAAATTCATTCATTACAACAAAAGGGAACTTGGTCGTTAGAAGATTTGCCAAAAGGTCAAAAAGCAATTAAGAACAAATGGGTATATACGTTGAAGAAAAATAGTGAAGGTAA